TCAGTATATATATATATATATGCATAAAAATGGCATTAGAGCCGATGATTAAGCTAAAATTAATTGGTTCATATTATTTATTTGCATCCAATTTTAAAATTATATTGATTTAGAAATTTAGTTTTCACTCCATAATTAAATTTTTAAAAATTATGTTTAACATGTAAAAGAGTTTTATTTTAGGAAATGTAAGCCCAAAGGACAATATGTGTGGTTTGAACCCATGGCTTCATAATGATAAACACAATATAACTTCATAATGAGAGAAAATATATTACATTCGGACGTGCGGGCATCCGAACGGTCAACTGTCGGGCGCCATGTCGTCCGGCTCCGAAGTGTATGATGAAGTAGCACCAGACAGTTGGCCGTCCGGACGTGTGTTGTCCGGACGTAAATTTTTTTCTTATGAGGGGCCTCTTTAGTGGAACCTCATGGACAAAACAAGCAAAATAAATTAATTAAGTGGTACATAATGATAATCAATTTTAATATTTTTTTATGAAGATTTATTCATCAAATTTAATGAACGTAATGCATGACATGTAAATACACATATAAGATGTGGTATTTACAAGTGAACGAATAGTAATAAAGGTCGATTAGCTCTTGCTCATAAAATGATCTCGTTATTTATAGATGAGGAAGTGCAATAAGTGTAATTACATGTTTGCCCTGCTTTAATAGGTGTGCTACAGGCTATTTCGGGTACTTTATAGATATAAGCTTATGGTTCGGCCATCATCTGGCTCGGTGAGCTGAGCTTGGTAGTCGGTTCAACAAGGACCACTCAGTGGGCTATGTTGAGTAAATATGTGGATCAATAACCTTCTAACTGACTTCAGGTAGGTAGGATTTGGCTTGGTTGGCTCGGTTCTGCCGACTGCCTATCCCACTCTGATTGTCAACTTTTGAATTATGGATGAGAGAAGCTATTGCACAAGGGGTGAATTATCATAATTTGATAGGTAGCTCGTACATCAACGGGAGGGTCTTCAGAAATCTAAAATCAAACAATGGGATCTAAAATCTTATCATTTTTTTTTTTAATTTTGTATTCATCGACAAGCAATCAAAACACACAAAAGATAGATGAGAGGAAAGTGTGCCATTTGACAGCTTTAGGGAAATTAACAGCAATGAATCAGCCGGCAGTACAACTTGGCCACTGTGATAAGAACTGCGGACTCCATGCAATTTTCTTCTTAATGAAGGTTATATTATCAATTAAATTTTATTGCAAAAAGAAAATCAAAGCGTAAAGATTGTGTGTGAGAAAAATTATGTCATTAGGATAGTAATTTAATGTTTTAATATTGTACGAAGATCAAACATACAAGGAAATAACAAAACATAGTCGTGAAAGGAGGCATCAGTTTTACGTGACAAACTTGGAAGTGTGAAAATATCACAGGGCATAGACCCTTCCCATGCGGATAATTATCCATATATGGGAGGGAGAATTTTACCCACTGGTCTCTCCCCAAAAATGGCGAAAGAACCGAGTTATAGAAGCTCCATATTTGGCGGTTAATGGCAGATTTCTAGGGATCAACGGTGCAAAACGAGTGAACAGGATGAACTGACATCGGCAAGCTCGGAATTTCGGCGTGGCCACGCCACTTCAAAAGTTTCACGAGCGGCTTTTAGGTGTGGTCAAGCCGGAGAGTCGTGTAATTAGGCTTGTCTCCTTGTTTGACAGCATGGTCAAGCCGTAACCGGGCGTGGTCACACCGCAACCGGGCATGGTCACACCCATTAATCTTTAGCTTATGAGGGATTCTTTTAGAAAATTACATATATTAAATATAATAAGAGAACAAGTGAGCTTCTCCGATCGATATGAGACCTGATGATCATCCTCTTCAATTGATTGTTCGTCTTTGGATTGTCGTGTTGGTTTCTGATTGGTCCTGATGTCATTGATCGATCGGTCCTACCATGGGCCGATCGTCATATCTTAGAGTAATTTGATCCTTAGGCCCACTTTTGGATGAGTATCTTATCCTGAGATTGTCGATAGATCCAATGATCTCCATAAGCGACTGATCGGCTACCTCCATTCGTCAAACAAATATCACGTCCGGACTCCAGAGTCCAATAAAATCACGCCACGTATATGTGACAAAAAAATAAAAAAATTCGTTTTAGCATAAGAGAATATTCCTCCCGCGTTATTCCGCGTTATTCAGATGTTGTTGTGATAATATTCATGCATTATTGTGTTCTGGAAATATTCTCAGTGTTATAATAACACATTAACACATTAATATCACCACAATACTACCTGAATAATACAGAATAACACTGGAGGAATATTCCTGTGTTATCGGTCACAAAAAAACAAGCATTTTTTTTCTGTCAGCTCCACATAGATGTGATTCATTGGACTTCGATCATATCTCTACACATAATAATTTTTCCCATTCATCGTCCCTTTACTTGACACACAAACACTCATTCTATATTTAATAGCCCAATATATATCCTAGTGAAAGGAATACATTAAAATTCTAAAAATTACTTCCAAAAAAAAAAAAAAAAACTTAGAAGTAGCCGACAACCAATTGAATCCTTTAAATAACCAAAATTCTAATATAAATAATTTGAGCAAAACTAACCTCTTTATTTCTCAAAAAAGAAAAAAATGAAAAAAAAAATCACCTCCGAATATCCAACGCCATTAAAGTCTGCATGGACCCCTCATCCAAGCTATCATCGTTAGAACCAGATCCAACTGCTCCAACGTTCGCCATCTCTAACAACAAGCTATCACTCTCCCTCCTCACCGCACTCTCACAAACCCGATCTATCTCATTCCCCATCAAACCAAAAACAATACTCCCCCTCCTCTCAAATCTCTTACATCTACTACACCTCCACTCCCCTTCGTCCTCCTCCTCCCCCGACGCCGCCGCCGACGCCGCCGACGATGCTGCCCTCCACAAGCTTTTTCCATGACCCCACCGCCTCACCCTCTCTAACTCCGACGCCACTTCCCTCATCGTCGGCCTATCCTCCCCATTCATCAACAAACACCTCCTCGTCACCTCCCCCACGAACATCAACTCCTCCAAACTCCCTTCATTCCTCACCCTCCCTTCCAATGTCTCCATTAACCTCCCCTGCTTCATTCGCGCCAAAAAATAAACCCCCAAGTTCTTACCTTCCGCCATCCTCGCCGACGATATCGGCTTCTCCCCCGTCAACATCTCCGCCATCACCACACCAAAGCCATACACATCGCTTTTCTCCGTCAACTGCCCTGTTTGAAAGTACTCTGGATCAAGATAACCCAATGTCCCCTGCACCAGAGTCGTCACCTGCGCTCGATCAAGCGGTAGCAATCTCGACGCGCCGAAGTCCGTCACTTTGGCCGTGTAATTCTCATCAAGGAGAATATTTGCAGATTTTACATCACGGTGGAAGATCGGCCGTTCGATGGCAGAGTGGAGGTAAGCCAAAGCTCCGGCCGTTTCGGATGCGATTCTCAGCCGCGCTTCCCATGAAAGCGAGCCGGGCTGATTATGGAGATGGTGGTGGAGCGTACCCTTGGGAATATACTCGTAGACGAGAAGAGGGACTTGTGTTTCGAGACAGCAGCCGAGGATTCGAACCACATGTTTGTGAATTACTTGCGAGAGCAGAACAACTTCGTTGATAAACGGTTCGATTTGTGAGCCGTCGACGCAACGAGGTTTCTTAATGGCGACTGCGCGGTTGCTGTCGGGGAATATGCCTTTATAGACTATCCCGTTGCCCCCTCGGCCGAGAATTCGGGCGTCGCTGTAGTTATCAGTGGCGCGTTTGAGTTCTTCGTCGGTGTAAATGCGGGCTGTTTCGGTGTGGGGAGCGTGGTGGCCGGCGAGATGTTGTCGGAGAAGCAAGCCGCCATTTTTATGAAAGTACTTTTCCTTGAGAGAGAGCAGTTTTCTTTTCTTTTGAACCCAGTGGAGGTAGGAGGCGGCGAGGAGTAGGAAAAGGAAGCTAAATCCGATACAGAGAACGAGTTGGACGAGAGGAAAACGTTTGGCGGATTTGGAGCAACCGGTACCGGATTTTGTTCCGTCGCCGTAGTAACCGCGAGGACATGAGCAGACGAAGCTTCCAGGTGTATTTTGGCAATTGATAGTGCATGGAGTGTCGCTTGGATCCTGGCATTCATTGATGTCTGCAAATTTTGCAAGAAAATTTAATTCCTAGAAAAAAAGGAGGGAGTTTTGAAGCACTCTAATGCTGAAAAATCGTACCTTGGCATCCCTCGGCGAGATAAGGATTTCCTGAGAAGCCACTGTTGCAGGAGCAGATGTACCCCGACAAGATGTTAGATTCAGAGCAATAAGCATTGGCACCGCACATGTTGTTTCCCTTCGCACACGTGCCATTCGGGATTGCCCAGTCCAGTCCCAACGGCATGGAGGTTGCAGAGAAATTCGTTATATAGGAAGGATTGAAGACGAATTCATCCTGTTCCACAAAGAAGGCGTGGTTACAGTCACTGGAATTAGATGAGTTATTTGTATTGCTTCTCAGACTGGTCGTAATCGTCTGCAGTCCGTTGGGGATAGAGGTCTGGCAGCATCCGCCACCATTACAGGACCCATTTACTATCTTGTCGGCGCTGTTGCAGAAGGGAAGGCAGCCGCCGGCAAAGGTCGTTTTGCTCCCAGAGGATGTGGTTGCGGCGTATAGGGCAATGGTGTCGCAGCCGACTGCAGTGAATTTGTTGCGGGTGGAGGAGAGGACGAACGGGTGCTCGGAGAGGTCAATGATAGATTGGGTTTCGTCGGAAGGGCGGCAGTTGCGGGTGATGGGGGAGAGAACGGTGGCGTTTGAGGTGGAGACAGAGATGGAGAAGAGCTCCAAGTCGCCGGAGACGGTAGAGATGATGGGTTTGGGAAAGGAAGAGTTTTTACAGGTGATTTGGAAGCCGGGAAGATGGCATCTGGGTTTGGCGCCAAAGGGGAAGGGGATAGTGATGTTGCCGCAGGTTTCGGGGCAGCCGGGGAGGGTGATGGGTGAGGAGGAGGAGGAAGATAATGCGATGAAAAAGAAGGGGAGGAGGAGGGGAAGCATGACAATCGCTGCAGGGCTTGCTATGGACTGGGAACGTTTAAGGGTGGTAGGGGTGTGAACAAGCCAAAAGAAAGAGTTCAGCTTGTTATTCCTGTTCGGCTCCCTAAGCTTAGCGACTGAATATGAAGTCTGTGCTCTTCCGGCCTTCTTTAGGATCCCGCTCAACTCTCCATCAGGTGATCCGGCCAAAACTCTCACGCGGTCCAATCAGAACGCTCTCCCTCACGCGGCTCTCACCCGCGGATTGGAATCTCTTTTTTAGCTTTACAAGGCCTCTTATATAAAACCACAACAAAAACGCCTGCTAATTCATCCTTCCAAACTCACGGGTGGGAAAGTTTTTTCTCCCTTTTCTCCTGAGAGAAGGGGGAGGCGTCGAAGTAATAAAATCATCTGCAACTCTGCGGACGTAGTCAAAATTATCGAACCACATAAATTTGTGCGTCACCTTTTTCTAATATATTTTTCTAGTCCCAATTTATTTTTTTCATTTTTCTTCATTATTTTTCACAACAATAGGATGTTATATGTATGAGCGAGATATTAATCTTACTATTTATATTCAAACATCATTTAAACATAATTTAATATATATTTTATTTTATTTTTTATTAATAATTTTAATTGATTATAAATTTTTGTAGCTTTATAGTCAACCAAATTATTTAAAAATATTGCTCATCAATTATATATATATATATATTATTTCGAGCTAAAAAGATGTCATTTATGTATCAGTCGTAAAAGAAATTGTTCGTTTTTAGCTCATTTACTTAGCAAATAAAACAAACACGAGATTATGATAACAAGAAGCCATTTTCATAACCCTAAATGACGGACGAGGTCTCTTCTAAATAAGTTTTGAAGTAAGCAAAGTTTGGAACTTTGGCGTGCGTGGCAAATAAACTCTAATGCCGCCCTAAAGCATTATATATATCGAAATAAATAACATAAAAATGTTCAAAATTATAATTTTAAGACGCCTAATGTCAAAAGAGAACGTTCTTGAATAATTAGCGTAGAAGTCGAAGGGCTTATGAGGCCCCTGAAGCGTGCTAGCCGTGCGCTTAGACCCAACAAAACTTATTTTTTATATACAACAACATAAATTAATTTCAATTCAATAAATTATTATTTACATCAAAATCGTAGAAGACAACAAATTGGTAGGAAACGCAACAAATAAAACAGCAAGGACGAGAGGGGAAAAAATCCTAAAGAATTATCACCAATTAATTTGCATCTTTATATGAGTTTCTAAACCTGGGACAATTATTAAATCCAGTTGGACATATAATTTCGGAATCATGCAAGATGCTTTATATATATATATATATATATATCAAACAGCATGTGTCCCATGTTCTTATGTTAGTTGGTAAAGCATCTGCTTTTGTGGTGAAAATCCCCTTTGATTTGGGGTTCGAATACCGCCTCAGACCACTGTTGCTTTAAGGAGGGAGTACTCAAATATTTAGGCGCATAAGTCACCCCTAGACCTGACGGGGGTTAAGCCACTAAGGTCCCTGAGTCAGTTTTTTAAATATATATATGTATTTATAGTAATAGATATGTTTTGCTCCTCGATCATCGGAATGAAGGAACATGATCCAGAACGGCGGAAAAAAGCTCCTCGATCATGATCTAAAAACAGAGAAAAATGCATTTCACCCTAAAGCACTTGCAAAGACATCCAACCACCAAACAAGACGCTGGCATTCGCTCGACGTTTTATGAAACGCAACGGAAGCCTATTGTCATCTCAAAACTAAACCTTTGAGGCGAGTCCATATCCACAGGAACTATTCTGAATGAATTGTGCCTAAGAGAAAAAAAAAGGATACAGCGACCCAAATCCTAAGCAAATGGTATACTGGTGTGTGTGTGTGTGCGTGCGACCCAAATCCTAAGCAAATGGTATACTGGTGTGTGTGTGTGTGCGTGCGACCCAAATCCTAAGCAAATGGTATACTGGTGTGTGTGTGTGTGTGTGTGTGTGTGTGTGTGTGTGTGTGTGTGTGTGTGAATAGTTTATACTTTATAGTTAGTTATTTACAAGTAAATATAAGTAAATTAAAAAAAAGGTATTAGATATGTAAATGCATTAATAACTTTGAAATATTCTAATTAATTACTCATTATCAACGCATCATTTTTTTAAGCGGATATATTACATGATTCCAAACATCTCTTTAATATTACCCCCACTATGGATAATGGCCCTTGAATTTGATCAAGACATTGCTAAGAGATTTGTGAAGGGCATTCAAAAATCTGTGGGTTAGCTAGCATGAAGTACAATTATGAAATAAAATACCAATTTTGATTTCCTGTCACTAAATTTATAAACACCCCTAAAACAATAGGAAGATTTATATTCATACACCTCAATTCTAATGTATTTCACTTTTAAAAGTTAAAATATTGATACTTCTGATTTGATATAAGTGTCAGATATCTAAAAATACACAGAAACTGGTGGTGTGTATATAAATGCCCCCCCAAAAAAACTAGAATAATAATATTTCAATATGATAATCTTCATAAATACATGGGAGCATCAAGGAAATGTGTGAATTACCATATGAACCTCTGGATTCCGGGCTGGTGATCCCACTGAAATGGTCTGTATAAGAACATAAGCATTGTGAGAACATTAACAGATGCGTACAGGATTCCAATTATAGCCCATTTCATATTCTGCTCAATTTTAGAATTTAAGATCAAGAAGTAGAATGGTGTGGTGTAATATCTGAACTCAATCAGAGGTGTGGGAATCAGAACTGCTACACTCGCTGCACAAAACAGAAGCACCCAAACCTTCTTCTTCTGAGCATTTCCTGTGTGAAATGAATATATATATATATATATATATATTAGAAAAAAAAAACAGAAGGAAAGATATTAACCATAAGGGAAATTTACATACATACCACAATTTTAATTTATTTACACATGTACCACTCAAAGTTTGATATTTACACTTACAATATTTTGATATCATAAAATTATGCATGAAAAGGTATATTTATATTTCACTTTTAAAAAGAATGGTGATAGGATGTGATGTTAAAGATTTAAGTGGTATTCATGTAAATATGAATATTGACGTGTTAGATATGTAAATACATAAAAATTGTATGGTATGTATGTAAATGTCCTAAATATAATTGTTTGAATTAAGAAAAATTTTATTGGCCAAAATATAGAAAAGCTCACCAAATGCAGTGATCAGGGAAAGCCAGGAATAGATATAAAGTGGAACTAGAAGGTATTTCATTGATCGGTTTGCATGGATGACCTTCCGCCACAAATAGAAGGTGTAGTGCCGGTTGTCAGCCAGAAGATAGGGATGGGCTATACTGCATTGGCAAATTAAACCTATGCATGTAAATATATGCTCTACTTTTAAGAAGTTGGTAAAAGTGATATTTTTCATGTGATATTAAAGATTTGAGTCTTATGTATAAAAATATGTTAGTTTAGGTGTTTGATATGTAAATACATAAGAATTGTGTGGCATGTATGTAAATGCCACAAAAATATATTAACCGAGCTACAATTCGTTGAGTGTTATATGTTTGTGCGTGTGCATGTGTCTATATCTATCTATCTATAGATATCCATGCATATATAGATACATGTAGACACAAAGATACACATACACATACATATACATGCATATATATATAAATTGTAAGTCCTCTCTGGTTCGAGGTTCAATTCCCCCCGAGTGTAGGGTGTGGTAGTCGAATTCTTAGGAGCATAAGAGATGGCCGGGGCTCGTATAATAGCCTCCGACCATTCCTTTTCAGAAAAAAAGGTCAATCAACTGTAGGTTCAATTCTGAAGTCTCAACAATTTAATAACAAAATTATACATTTAAAGCTCAATTCTGAGGTCGGTAAGCTTTGAGTATAGGACTTAATTCAGTGCAGGAGAAAATGTCCAACCATCTGGCCACTCTCACAACGTGTGAGCGCATACACGCACATGCAATATTTGGGAGTAAAATAGAAGACAAAGCTTGCACAACACCGTGGCGAATATATGATTTTGGTATTTTACTAAGGACAGCCCAAAAATAGTGTTAACAAATTGGACAAGATAGCTAATCCACCAGGAAGAGGGGCCGAAGTCACCCTATTATATGGTAATATAAATCAATGCTTTGTAATAGAAAGCACAAAGATGCAACATATTGTACGAGCAATTATCGATATAGGCCAACAACAACAATCTTTGTTACAGAGTGAGTGGAGATATCTGACCTGAAAAAATGCACAAAAATCATGCAGAGGAATAGAGAAGCCAATAAGCCAAAAGAATTGCCAATCTTATGTCTCCTTAATGATTGCCATAAAGTTGAAGCCTGTCCTAATGTGAAATGCACAGGAGCTAAGGCTGCAGCTGCAGCTAGACCAAAGTACATCAATTGGGCAAAATGAAGTGAAACCACATGGGCTTCTTTTGCACCTGCATTGCAAAATATTAATTTAAATCATGCTTCAAGTATACCCTAAATGTAAGCAATGATCATCGCAACATGCAAAATTCATGGATAAGAAAAGAAATTTAAAAAGTATTCACACTACCAAGGACAATGCCTCCATTGAAAACAACAAGAGCTCCAAATGCCACCAAAACTAGAAGATAAGGGAAGAAGGTAACCAACACCTTCCACTTTAAACGCCATAACTTTATGAACAGTTCGACGATTTCATCAACCAAACCTGCAAAAAAAATTGTGTTTAATGGCATAGCACCATTAAAAACAAGATATCAAGAAAATAGCATGATGGTGTTTATAATTGTATCATTTGCACTCCGGTGCTCCATTCCGACTGTGTGCCACAAGGGGGTTTATTTCAATACTTTAGGTATCAAAATATTTGGTTTGGATTCGATTAAAAACTTCAATTTAAGCTCATTCAATGGGTAATTCTTTATCTCCAATAAAATATCAAATCCACCAACATATTTTTTATTAGTTTTCGGGGTTGGTGCATTGGTGAGTGGAAATCAAGTTATCATGTCTATTTCATATCAGCTTAACATCAACCTGAAACGACTCAACTGCTTATTGAGTTGGGTTGTGTTGAAGTTTGAGTTTCGTTCAGTCTAATTATGATTCAAAATTTCAACCCATTTAATACGATTTGCCTCCTTTCAAGTAGATCCAAAACCATCCCAATTTACACAAATAGACACCCTTAATAATATTTTATCTAGAGAAGACATTAGAAAACTTAAAACATTATGGGTCTTATGGGTTGATAACACATCACATCCCACCTGTATTTCAAAGTTGAATCAAATTTAAGAGAGCCCAAAGTTTGAGATTTTCCAATAGTTAATGTACATCTTTAGTGCTGACTAATAATCAATGTTATTTCCTGAATAAAAACCACTAGCTTTCTTCAAGTTGTCTTAGCATGCACTTTTTAAGAAAAAGAAAATTTTAATGATTTTAAAACAACTAAAAAATAAAGATTCTTTTCATCAGATTTGCTAAATGATTATCATCCTTATTTTAGTCCATAGTTGAGCAAAGTATTTGGCATAGAAGTTACAAACGAAGCCTTAAGTTTCAGACTACTATAATCAGGCTAAAACAAATGTTCTGGTATGCAACTGAAAGATAATAAAAACTTTAGCTATGCAGAGTTCATCTTTATTTCTCCTTCAACAATCTCTAAACAAGAGGCAGAGAACCCTAGATGCTTCTCAAATGATAAGAAGCATCATAAAGAATTTGTAACTAATGTTCATTGATGGTTTCACAAAGTTTTGTAGAATAAAACTTCTATAAGTGGCTGATCATAGGGTTTTTCGTAGGTGGTGATTTTGTGCTTTCTATCAAACAAGCAACTTCTCATGTTGAATCAAGATTATATTCCAAAAAGATAACCATACTGATTTTTGATAAAACTCAGATACTGTTTGGTTGTTTGCATCAACAGAGTACTGCAAATAGAATGTAGGGATTTTTAAAATTTTGATATTTGGTTGGAAGAAAAAGCAATGTAGCATTAAATTTTGGTGAATGTGATAATTTATTTCTGCTACGGCCATACCTCAAGAATGTGAGAGATATCTGCCACTTCCTTCAACTACGGGAGCAATTTTTTTATTTTATTTTATTTGCACTAAAAACCCGACAACACTTATAGTTATGATTAACTTATATTGCAAGAAAAACGTAAGGTCAAGAAAAATGATCAGGAGAACAACTAGGACTTGAATGTAGCACGCCGCATTTAAGTGAATGAGAAAGACCTGAATCATTAAGCAAATGGAAATGAATCACTTTTTGGCTGGAATTCTTTGAAGCGCCCGTCCTCCGCTTTCTTAAAGTTGGGTTAACTGCGCTGTTATTTTTGCCAGATATCACATCTTTTTTCACAATCTTAAATTTCTCGTATTTCAAATTAGCACAATCCTTCCCACATAAGTTTTCTGCATAGCTTATAGCTGCAGTGGCGGCAACAAACGCCACCCATACCACATTTGTTTGCCTAAATAGTGTTGCAAATGCTCCAAACTGCATAAGAAAAAGGAAGTAAACATTTATTTGAATGAATGTGTTCAATTTACTTGAATGAATGTGTTCAACAAAATCTGTTAAAAGTAATAATAAGCCCCTGACTCTTGATAACAATAATTAAACAGTACTAAAAGCAGGTTTAGAAATTAATTTTTCTTTTTAAAAATCTAACATGTAATAAGTTTGGTTTGAGAGGAAACACAAGATAAAAAAGCACTACAAAACACGATTCCACAACTTTGACTTTATTTTGTAAACAGCTGAATTAAATATATGACATATAAACTTCTAGCTTTCCATGTTCTTTTATGTCGTGCCAAATGTTTTAACTCTTTAGAACCAAAACTTGGTTTTATTGGCATAAACATTACTCCACACAGAATCTAGGATCAGTTCTCTCATTAGATTGGCCTAAAAGGCTTAAAACTGGATTAAAAATGGAAGGTAAATGAAACCTGTTGAAATTATTTAGGAATTTTTATTTTAGCATCTTTTATTATCTTCTTTTATTAGGTTTTTGTATTATAGTGAACTTATAATTCTTGTTTTCTTTTTTTATCATGAGAAATTATAGCTGATGTATGGTTTTACTAATGTGGGGCTTATCTCCCTCTATTTAATTGACAAGAAATTATTTTTCTTCTCCAAAAATCACATGGTATCAGAGCGGTAAAGGTTGCGATGAGCGAATAGGCCAAATCCCTAAAGTTGTGCTCGAGTGTGAATTGCAAGGACTTCGAATCTAAGGAAGAGTATAGAGGTGTTACTTTCGGAATCACGTGCTCAAGGTCAAGAACGCGACTGCCCTCAAGAACAAACTTTTTGCCGTCTAAGACTGGCTCGTCGGATTGAAATGGGAGGGACGAGTAGCAGAAGATAAAAGTGAGGAATAAGGAGAAAACTGGCTTAGCATGCATCATTGATGTAATCAAAACCCAAGCACTACGAAATGAAGAAAATTTGAAAGAGCGACCGCACAGGTAAGTGCATGAATCGCAGCATATAGAAATTCCACGCCATTCTAGATCGAGATCTCGTGTAAAGAAGTTCCACGCCGCTCGTGCATGGAAATGAATGGATTGCGGCGTACAGAAATTCCACGTCATTCTTGATAGAAAATAGCAATAGGGATCACAACATAAAGGAGTTCCGAGCCGCTTGCACGATCGGAATTGCAGTGTTTTTTTAGATTCTGAGCACCGCGATCGGAATTACCGTGTTTTTTAGATTTTGAGAATGTCGTATAAATCAACAATGATGACGAGAGTATAAAGAAATTCTACCACATCATCTGATTCCGATAATTCTGAAACTACATCACCTCACTCCACACGCATATCGACCGAGTATTATCCCCAAAACTTACCACTGTATCTCAGAGTGATAAAACTCAATGGGCATGACTACCTCGAGTAGGCTCAATCCTAAAATTGGTGATCGACGATAGAGTCAAAATTAGGTATTTAACAAAAGAAACTTCAAAACATGTTGTTGTTGATCCAAATATGAAAAAATGGTAGTCCAAAATTCTCTAGTTATGTTTTGAATTATCAACTCTATGGAACCTATCATAAGAAAGTCACATTTATTCCTTCCCACTGCTCGAGATATTTGGAAGGATGTTCGAGATCTCTATTCAGACTTGGAGAATTCTTCCCAAATTTTTGAGTTGAAAACTCAACTTTATAAATTCAAACAAAATGATCTTGATGTTATGATATATTACGAGTTGGTAATATGATGGCAAGAGCTTTATCAATGCTATGATGACATCTGAGAGAATCTGAATGATTATTCCCACCACAAGAAAAGAGAAAAATTATCTAATCGACATATTCTTAGCTGGTTTTAATTGAAGTTTAGACAAAGCCTGAGGTCACATCATCGGTAGGAAACCTCTACCCTCAATTCGAGAAGTTTTTTTTTGAAGTTAAACGTGAAGAGGAAAGGAGAAAAATTATGTCCTGCAACACTAAATCGTCTATTAATATTGAATATGAGAACTCAACTTTTGGTCACAATGGGTTGACACTGACAAAGAAGGAAAAAAAAAATCATGGTGCGAGCATTGAAAAAATCATGATATATGAAAGAGATATGTTGGAAACTTCATGGTAAACCTATAAATTGGGATCAAATTCCAAGCATAGAAGTCGAGCTTATCAAGCCATTGCTAAAGAAAATTAGGAGCTACCTGCCAACTCGAATCCAATCCTTTCATCAAGGAGCAATTAAAGCATTTGTACAAATTATTTCAACCTCCACAATTCTCCCAGATTCCATCATGCACTTTAGTACAGAAGGGTAACCCTTTGGCCACCGCTTTGCTAGGTGTTATCTTTTATTTTTTATCATTCATAGATAATAGATTCTGATGCAATCGATCACAGGACTGATTGTTCTAAATTATTTTTTCTATGGACCTTGTGCGGGTAATAAAAAGATCAAAATTGTTGATAGTTTCCTCTTGGTAATTGTAAGGATGTGAATTGTCAAACTCTCCTCGCTGTTAAAATTTAAGATGTTCCCCGTGTTCCTAATCTATCGAAAAACATGTTTTTCGTCAATAAAATTATCGGTGATCATCAATGTCAAGCTAATTTTTATTCTTCTTTTTGTGAGTTTCAAGATGATTAACAATGCTAAGAAAAAAGATGGACTCTACTATTTTGAAGATGGAGTTCACTCGAATAGACAATCTCAAAGCATTGGTTCGAATTTTTCTTCTGATTCTAAAGACAACGAAATTGTATTATAACATTATAGGTTAAGTCATAACATTTCTCTTTATCAAAAATACTTGCTTCCCAAATCATTTTAGAATCAAAATATGTTGTTGTTTTAATGTGAAGTGTCAGTTTGCTAAGCATCACACACATCATTTTGTCCACAAATATACAAATCAATTACAAAATCTACTTAGATTCATAGCGATATCTAGGATCCTTGTAAAACCCTTTCACATTCTAAAAATAAATTTGCTTGTGGATTTTACTGTTGATCATACAATGTTAGGTTGAGTTTATCTAATGAAAGAAAAATCTTAAGTAGAAATAACTTTTAAAAAATTTTACACTATTGTACAAACACAATGTCAAACAATCATTCAAATATTACAGAGTGATAATGACTGAACATATTTCAAAAATAATTTGAGTCAATTCTTTCTTAAAAAATGAATAGTTCATCAAAGTTTTTGTGTTTACACTCCCTAACAAAATAGATTAACTAAAAGAAAAAATAAACACTTATTGGAGGTAGTTAGGGGATTATTTTTTACCAATCAGGTACCTAAATAGGAAAATTGTTCTCACTGCTACATTTCTCATAAACAGAACACCAATAAGATTTTAAAGTTGAAAACACCTATTGATGATTTTAAAAAAAACAAAAAATTGACTCATGTTCACTACCTTTAAAGATAATTTGAGTGCACTGTCGGCCGTTTTATTTTTATTATTATTTTTTTAAACTTCGTGATTTAAGAAAGTGAATGATTTTGTGATTTTGAAAATAATTTAAATATAAATATAACCTTTTTTGATTTTTTAAATGTAACATTTTAATTTTAAAATAGGTAAGACCAAGCGGGTCTCACATTTTAAATAGTTTAGATGATTGAATATAATACTACAGGTAATACACTTATCCCGACGAATAAATATATCATTTGTAATGGGAATTCAATCACCTAGACTAAAGAATTTGTGACATCCGTTTTAGTCTGCGAAATATTTTATTTGCCGACAAGTTCCCCTATCTAATACGAGGATTAGATAAGGTTTATTTTATCTGGGTTCCAGGTTCCCTATAGATGCAAGCCCCTATAGTTAATTACATCTTAAATGATCGAAATCACTTAAGAAAACTCTCGATTAAAATCAGGTGGTTTTCTTTCAAGATTTCAAAATTTAGGTTTTCACGATTGGACATGGGGAAAATCAAATGGAAATGGCTCAAAATAGGAACAATTATTTAAGGAATCCAAAGGGAAGAAAAGTAGGGGACATCACAGATCCAGGAGAAACCCCGGAGATGTCCCAACTATCCTATTGTTTGGCTTTATGTCTTTGAAATGATGTTTATTTGATATTTCAATCCTACAAATTATTTAAGATTTAGGACTTATGTTTGCACAACGTCGGACTGTGCAAATAGCCTAAAAGACAGAAGGATTTACACCGTACCGTACGGTAACCTCGGAATCCTAAAACGTTAGGACTTATAATTGTACAACAGAGTTGTACAAAAAGCCTAAAGAGTGATCCTATGGGTTGTTTAAACTAAAGAAAGTGTTAGGTGATGTGAATGTGTTTTGCTGCTGCAGATTCATCTTGAAGTTATCCCTTGCCGTGCTGCCCACGATGTTTGCTCCAAACTCCTCGTAGTAGCATCTCCTGGTTTAGTTTTAGTTTTGAACATGCTCCTAACCAATAGGTTATCCTAAACTAAGACATAGTGTATCAAAGTAACTAAGCATGC